CTGTTATACAGGCCTTGGTAATTAAGATGTTAACTACCTCACCTGTTATACAGGTCTTGGTAATTGAGATGTTGACTACCTCACCTGTTATACAGGCCTTGGTAATTGAGATGTTGACTACCTCACCTGTTATACAGGTCTTGGTAATTGAGATGTCAACTACCTCACCTGTTATACAGGCCTTGGTAATTGAGATGTTGACTACCTCACCTGTTATACAGGTCTTGGTAATTGAGATGTAAACTACCTCACCTGTTATACAGGCCTTGGTAATTGAGATGTTGACTACCTCACCTGTTATACAGGTCTTGGTAATTGAGATGTCAACTACCTCACCTGTTATACAGGTCTTGGTAATTGAGATGTTAACTACCTCACCTGTTATACAGGTCTTGGTAATTGAGATGTCAACTACCTCACCTGTTATACAGGCCCTGGTAATTGAGATGTTAACTACCTCACCTGTTATACAGGCCTTGGTAATTGAGATGTCAACTACCTCACCTGTTTTACAGGGCTTGGTAATTGAGATTTTGACTACCTCACCTGTTATACAGGCCTTGGTAATTAAGATGTTAACTACCTCACCTGTTATACAGGTCTTGGTAATTGAGATGTTGACTACCTCACCTGTTATACAGGCCTTGGTAATTAAGATGTTGACTACCTCACCTGTTATACAGGTCTTGGTAATTGAGATGTCAACTACCTCACCTGTTATACAGGCCTTGGTAATTGAGATGTTGACTACCTCACCTGTTATACAGGTCTTGGTAATTGAGATGTAAACTACCTCACCTGTTATACAGGCCTTGGTAATTGAGATGTTGACTACCTCACCTGTTATACAGGTCTTGGTAATTGAGATGTTGACTACCTCACCTGTTATACAGGCCTTGGTAATTGAGATGTCAACTACCTCACCTGTTATACAGGCCTTGGTAATTGAGATGTTGACTACCTCACCTGTTATACAGGTCTTGGTAATTGAGATGTTGACTACCTCACCTGTTATACAGGCCTTGGTAATTGAGATGTCAACTACCTCACCTGTTATACAGGTCTTGGTAATTGAGATGTCAACTACCTCACCTGTTATACAGGCCTTGGTAATTGAGATGTCAACTACCTCACCTGTTATACAGGCCTTGGTAATTGAGATGTCAACTACCTCACCTGTTATACAGGCCTTGGTAATTGAGATGTCAACTACCTCACCTGTTATACACGCCTTGGTAATTGAGATGTCAACTACCTCACCTGTTATACAGGCCTTGGTAATTGAGATGTCAACTACCTCACCTGTTATACATGCCTTGGTAATTGAGATGTCAACTACTTCACCTGTTATACACGCCTTGGTAATTGAGATGTTAACTACCTCACCTGTTATACAGGCCTTGGTAATTGAGATGTCAACTACCTCACCTGTTATACACGCCTTGGTAATTGAGATGTCAACTACCTCACCTGTTATACAGGCCTTGGTAATTGAGATGTCAACTACCTCACGTGTTATACAGGTCTTGGTAATTGAGATGTCAACTACCTCACCTGTTATACAGGTCTTGGTAATTGAGATGTCAACTACCTCACCTGTTATACAGGTCTTGGTAATTGAGATGTCAACTACCTCACCTGTTATACAGGTCTTGGTAATTGAGATGTCAACTACCTCACCTGTTATACACGCCTTGGTAATTGAGATGTCAACTACCTCACCTGTTATACAGGTCTTGGTAATTGAGATGTCAACTACCTCACCTGTTATACAGGTCTTGGTAATTGAGATGTCAACTACCTCACCTGTTATACAGGCCTTGGTAATTGAGATGTCAACTACCTCACCTGTTATACAGGTCTTGGTAATTGAGATGTTAACTACCTCACCTGTTATACAGGCCTTGGTAATTGAGATGTTGACTACCTCACCTGTTATACAGGCCTTGGTAATTGAGATGTCAACTACCTCACCTGTTATACAGGCCTTGGTAATTGAGATGTAAACTACCTCACCTGTTATACAGGCCTTGGTAATTGAGATGTTGACTACCTCACCTGTTATACAGGTCTTGGTAATTGAGATGTCAACTACCTCACCTGTTATACAGGTCTTGGTAATTGAGATGTCAACTACCTCACCTGTTATACAGGCCTTGGTAATTGAGATGTTAACCACCTCACCTGTTATACACGCCTTGGTAATTGAGATGTCAACTACCTCACCTGTTATACAGGCCTTGGTAATTGAGATGTCAACTACCTCACCTGTTATACAGGTCTTGGTAATTGAGATGTCAACTATCTCACCTGTTATACAGGTCTTGGTAATTGAGATGTTAACTACCTCACCTGTTATACAGGCCTTGGTAATTGAGATGTCAACTACCTCACCTGTTATACAGGTCTTGGTAATTGAGATGTCAACTACCTCACCTGTTATACAGGCCTTGGTAATTGAGATGTCAACTACCTCACCTGTTATACAGGTCTTGGTAATTGAGATGTCAACTACCTCACCTGTTATACAGGTCTTGGTAATTGAGATGTCAACTACTTCACCTGTTATACAGGCCTTGGTAATTGAGATGTCAACTACCTCACCTGTTATACAGGCCTTGGTAATTGAGATGTCAACTACCTCACCTGTTATACAGGCCTTGGTAATTGAGATGTTGACTACCTCACTTGTTATACAGGCCTTGGTAATTGAGATGTTGACTACCTCACCTGTTATACAGGCCTTGGTAATTGAGATGTCAACTACCTCACCTGTTATACAGGCCTTGGTAATTGAGATGTCAACTACCTCACCTGTTATACAGGTCTTGGTAATTGAGATGTCAACTACCTCACCTGTTATACAGGTCTTGGTAATTGAGATGTTAACTACCTCACCTGTTATACAGGTCTTGGTAATTGAGATGTCAACTACCTCACCTGTTATACAGGCCTTGGTAATTGAGATGTCAACTACCTCACATGTTATACAGGTCTTGGTAATTGAGATGTCAACTACCTCACCTGTTATACAGGTCTTGGTAATTGAGATGTCAACTACCTCACCTGTTATACACGCCTTGGTAATTCAGATGTTAACTACCTCACCTGTTATACAGGTCTTGGTAATTGAGATGTTGACTACCTCACCTGTTATACAGGCCTTGGTAATTGAGATGTCAACTACCTCACCTGTTATACAGGTCTTGGTAATTGAGATGTCAACTACCTCACCTGTTATACAGGTCTTGGTAATTGATATGTCAACTACCTCACCTGTTATACACGCCTTGGTAATTGAGATGTTGACTACCTCACCTGTTATACAGGTCTTGGTAATTGAGATGTCGACTACCTCACCTGTTATACAGGCCTTGGTAATTGAGATGTCAACTACCTCCCCTGTTATACAGGCCTTGGTAATTGAGATGTCAACTACCTCACCTGTTATACAGGTCTTGGTAATTGAGATGTCAACTACCTCACCTGTTATACACGCCTTGGTAATTAAGATGTCAACTACCTCACCTGTTATACACGCCTTGGTAATTCCGATGTTAACTCCCTCACCTGTTATACAGGTCTTGGTAATTGAGATGTTGACTACCTTACCTGTTATACAGGCCTTGGTAATTGAGATGTTAACTACCTCACCTGTTATACAGGCCTTGGTAATTGAGATGTCAACTACCTCACCTGTTATACACGCCTTGGTAATTACGATGTTAACTACCTCACCTGTTATACCGGTCTTGGTAATTGAGATGTTGACTACCTCACCTGTTATACAGGCCTTGGTAATTGAGATGTCAACTACCTCACCTGTTATACAGGTCTTGGTAATTGAGATGTTGACTACCTCACCTGTTATACAGGCCTTGGTAATTGAGATGTTGACTACCTCACCTGTTATACAGCCCTTGGTAATTGAGATGTCAACTACCTCACCTGTTATACAGGCCTTGGTAATTGAGATGTCAACTACCTCACCTGTTATACAGGTCTTGGTAATTGAGATGTCAACTACCTCACCTGTTATACAGGTCTTGGTAATTGAGATGTTAACTACCTCACCTGTTATACAGGTCTTGGTAATTGAGATGTCAACTACCTCACCTGTTATACAGGCCTTGGTAATTGAGATGTCAACTACCTCACATGTTATACAGGTCTTGGTAATTGAGATGTCAACTACCTCACCTGTTATACAGGTCTTGGTAATTGAGATGTCAACTACCTCACCTGTTATACACGCCTTGGTAATTAAGATGTTAACTACCTCACCTGTTATACAGGTCTTGGTAATTGAGATGTTGACTACCTCACCTGTTATACAGGCATTGGTAATTGAGATGTCAACTACCTCACCTGTTATACACGCCTTGGTAATTGAGATGTTGACTACCTCACCTGTTATACAGGTCTTAGTAATTGAGATGTCGACTACCTCACCTGTTATACAGGCCTTGGTAATTGAGATGTCAACTACCTCCCCTGTTATACAGGCCTTGGTAATTGAGATGTCAACTACCTCCCCTGTTATACAGGCCTTGGTAATTGAGATGTCAACTACCTCACCTGTTATACACGCCTTGGTAATTAAGATGTCAACTACCTCACCTGTTATACACGCCTTGGTAATTACGATGTTAACTACCTCACCTGTTATACAGGTCTTGGTAATTGAGATGTTGACTACCTTACCTGTTATACATGTCTTGGTAATTGAGATGTTGACAACCTCACCTGTTAGACAGGCCTTGGTAATTGAGATGTCAACTACCTCACCTGTTATACAGGCCTTGGTAATTGAGATGTCAACTACCTCACCTGTTATACAGGTCTTGGTAATTGAGATGTCAACTACCTCACCTGTTATACAGGTCTTGGTAATTGAGATGTTAACTACCTCACCTGTTATACAGGTCTTGGTAATTGAGATGTCAACTACCTCACCTGTTATACAGGTCTTGGTAATTGAGATGTCAACTACCTCACCTGTTATACAGGTCTTGGTAATTGAGATGTTACCTACCTCACCTGTTATACAGGAGGTCGTGGCTTCGATCCCAACCCTGACGCTGCCTACTGCTGTATAGTCGGAGTTGACAATGCCGGTTGTAATTGCCGGTGAAAGTCTCTCGGTGTCTTCGGGGTTCTCACTTTCTCGGATTTCTCTCTCAGTTCCTTGGACTTCTCTCCCGGCTTCCAGGGGGGCTCTGCGTCGCGCCACTGGGCTCGCCCCGCATCGCTTCCTTCACCTGCGCCGGCAGCGACTCGAACAGCTCCTCCTCCACCAGCAGCCCCCCGCGCCTCAGCTCCGCGCACTCCCCCAGCTCGGCCGGCAGCTCCGTCAGCCGGTTCCCGACCAGCTCCAAGCGGCGCAGCCTCGACAGCCTCCCGACCAGGCCGCTCAATTCGCGCAGCTCGTTGTTGGCGAGTGCCAGCGTCCGCAACCCCTCGCACCGGAACAACTCGTCAGGCAGACTCCGCAGGGCATTGCCCGACAGACGGAGGGTGCTCAGCCGAGTCAGCTGGCGCACCTCGGGCGGCAGGGCGGCGATGGCGTTGCGGCTCAGGTCGAGGACCTGCAGGCCGTGCAGACGGAACAGCCCAGCGGGCAGCTCGCCCCCGATGAGGTTCCCGTCGAGGAAGAGCGAGCGCAGCGCCAGCGAGCCTGCCCCCCCCGCCGCCGCCAAGCGCGGGACGCTCGCGAGGGCGTTGTCCGAGAGACGCAGGACGGCGAGGCGCTTGCAGGCGGCCGCCGGCAGCATCGCCGCGTCGTCGCCGTCGCCCGGCGAGCGGAGGCCGTTGCGGGAGAGGTCGAGGTCGCTCAGGCGTCCCAGCGCCAGCAGGGGCCGCGCAAGCTCGGCGGGCTCCAGGCCGCAACGCGTCAGCCGCAGCGTCTCCAGGCCGCGCAGCTTGCTCAGGGGCGCCAGCGACTCGAGGCGCGCGCCGCCGTTGTCGAGGGCGAACGCGCGCAGGCCACCGCCGCCGCTGGCGACAGTGGCCAGGCCGGGCGGGAGGCGGGCGACGCTGGTCGTCAGGCGCAGGCCCTGCAGGCGCCTGAGGCCGCCCAGCGGCTTGAGGAGCGCCGGCGTCAGGGGCCCCTCCAGGGACAGCTCCTCCAGGTGGCGCATGTCACGCAGCCAGCCCGGGACCTCCGCCTTGATTGCAAACTTCACCTGCGAGAGGGCGCGGGGGGGGGGCGGACGGTGAATTTCGGTCCCCGACATTGTGACTTAAATACATTTGGTGGGGGAGGTGACTTTTTGGCGATGTCACGGCCCGGATCAGTGGAGCCGAATGAACCACTCAGACCGAGCCACCCTCGCGCCCGCCCGCCCATCCACCCACGCACCTCCAGCTGGCGCAGCTCCTCGCTGAGGAAGGCGAGTGCGCGATTGTCGACGCCCACGGTGCAGTTCAGCAGCCGGAGCTTGTGCAGATTCACCATCTGCACCACCGCCGCCCCCAGCGTCACCCCGTGCATCGAGTCCAGCGTCAGCACCTTCGGTGGGGGATTGGGTACGAGGGTGAGTAAGTTGGTGGGTGAGTGGGTGTGTGGGTGGGTCAGTGGGTATGAGGGTGAGTGAGTTAGTGGGTGAGTGGCTGTGTAAGTTGGTGGGTGCATGGGTGTGTGGGTGGGTGGGTGTGTGGGTTGGTGAGTGAGTGGGTGTGTGGGTGGGTGTGTGCGTGGGCGGTGTGTTGGCGAGTGAGTGGGTGAGTGAGCAAGTGGGTGGGTGTGTGCGCGAGTGGTTGGGTGGGTGTGCGGGTGAGTTGGTGGGTAAGTGGGTGTCTGGGTGAGTGGGTGGGTGAGTGAATTGGTGGGTGAGTGGGTGTGCGGGTGTGGATGGGTGGGTGCATAGGTGGGTGGGTAAGTGGGTGTGTCCACGGGCACCTGTATCTGAGTGAGCCGGTATGTGTCCACTGGCACCGCTGCCAGCTTGGAGAGATGTAGCTCGCTTTCGCCCTGCGCATTGATCGCCAGCAGCTCCGTCAGATGCGACAGGGTCCACGCTTGATCCACGTTCACCTGCCTCAGCTTATTTTCGCTCACCTGGAGCAGCAGCAGCAGCAACAGCACCAGCAGCCACGCGTGGATGGATTTTATTTGTTTCAGCAGCGAGGGCCCAATGAGCCGTTACGCCCCATGACGGTAAAGACGTTATACACATGTAGTGAGCGACTTCCGAGACGCATCGTGTAGAGGCCTTCTTATTTATTCTCACACTGGACGATACAGAAATATCAACGTCTCTACGTAACTACACATAGCCAACCCTTCTACACAACCCCATCGTCGGCGTCCAACTACACGGTTATTTGACTAGCGCAGCGACAGTGACGATGAGAGCCCTGCAGGAGATCGGCCACGACGAAGAGAGATGACGGCGAGCGGCGATGCAGCCTGGACCCAGGACCAGCAACAGCACCGAACCTCTGGTTCGGTCCCCCTTATATACACCCCGGTGCGGCCAAGCCCCGCCTCCGGCCACGCCCCCTTCCTGAATCTTCAAGCAGGTTCCCGGAGCTTGTGGTCTCACTCAGCCTTTGACCTTCACCACCGATACGCCCCCCTTATAATTAGTCATTACATAACTTGCCCATAAGGTCATTACACATAGACTAACACGGCCCATAGACTCAGACAGAGACCCAAAGACTCAACATCACCCGTATAGCCTCGACGGACTGTTGGGGCAAGTGCCGTTAGCAAGCACCTATGCAGGCCAGAAAGGCGGCACACGAGGGGGTGGGTGGCCAGCACCACGTTCACCACACAGAGACCCACAGTTTGTTGTCCTTACCCCGCATCTCCGATCGGCGCGGTCGGCTCCGTCAAACGTGCGGCGCTCTGCGTGCAGCGCACAGCGCGCTCTGCGAGCGGCTTCTCCTCACCTCGGACAGGAAGACAGAGAACTTGCACGCGTAGCAGGGGTCGTACTTGTCCACTAGGTGAAGGAGGAAGGCAAAGTCGTTGCGCACGTCCGGAATGTCGTCCACCCCTGTCTCCTGGCGCGCCTCCGCGAAGCTGTACTCCTTGAGCCTGCGGTGTCAGCGCCCCCCCCAGCACAGAGAACTCAGCGATCGTCGACCCTCGTCCCAACGCGGAAGATCTCCCACGAAGCCACCGGTAGAACGTTACGATTAGATATACGTAGCGGTGTCGCCGTCCGCGCTAACCGCATCTCCACGCATCTCCACGAAAAGCCCGCAGACCAAAGTCAGAAGGCTGCCGCACGGCGATCCGGTGCCACGCAACCGCTCTGCGGCAGCCCGCCGCCCCCCCCTCTCACCTGCCGGTCACCACCCAGTAGAAGACGTAGGCACAGGTGAGCGCGTAGACGCACATCGTGGTCGCGTAGGCCATCCACATCATGCGGAAGATGCGCCACAGCCCGTGGACGCAATAGAAGTCTCCGTAGCCCGTGATGTACTCGTCTTCCACGCAGTGGATGTGGTAGCGCATGTTGGGGCCGGCGTAACCGGTGTACGCAAGCACCACCAGCGCCTGCAGCAAGCGGGCCCCCGTCTGCCACACGTAGAGCCTGTGGAGCCCGCCGCTCGCCTCCGTGTGAGCACGCAGTTTCTTCACCTTCTCGAAGAGAGCCTTGGCCTGCTCGCCCTCCTTCTTGTCCAGGATGCGATCATCCGATGGCGTCCGCCGGCCCTCGTTCTGCTCCGGGGGGGGCCAGTCGGGGGGCGGGGCGGCCTCGCCGGGGTCGACGAATCGGATGGAAGGCCGGGGCGGTGCCGGCGGAGACTCAGAAGGCAGTTTCTCCATGGGGAGTTCGTCGGATCTCGGGTCGCTGCGAGCGTGGGACGCAGAGACGCACAGAGACCCATAGAGATTCACAGAGACCCATATAGACTCACAGAGACCCATCGAGACTCACAGAGAACCGCAGAGACCCACAAAGATACACAGAGTCTCACAAAAACCCATAGAGACTCACAGAAACCCGCAGAGACCCACAGAAACCCATAGAGACTCACAGAGACCAATCGAGACTCACAGAGACCCACAGACCCGCAGAGACCCACAGAGACCCACAGAGACCCATAGTGACTCACAGAGACCCGCAGAGACCCATAAAGACCCACAGACCCGCAGAGACCACAGAGACCCACAGAAACCCAGAGACCCATACAGACTCAGACACCCACATCGTGACGCACATACACACGCACACCAAGAGCCCCCGTATAGCCTTAACAGACTATAGGGGCAAGTGCTGTTATCGAGTTAGCGAGCACTTATGAAGGCTGGAACTGTACATGAGGGGGTGGGTGGCCAGCACCACGCCTGGCCGCCTTTGTCTCCCCAGTGGCGATGTTTACACACCACACCAAGTACTCATTTGAGGCTGAGTAGACCTAGGAGAGGCCCAAAGCTGGTACAAGTATGAACAGGTTCCATACTGCCCACCAGGGATTATATGTCTGTCGTGCACAAACGCGCTGTCCAACCAAGTTACTACCTGCCCACTCCGAAGGAACGTGTTTCAGATAATCGTCGCCGGTGTTGGCCATGAGCGGTAATCGAACCTGGGTCGCCGGGATCATAGCGCAGCGTAGCGCTAACCGCTTCACTACCGCTCCCCACACACACACCGCCAACCGTAAGCCAAACTGGTTATGAAAAGCAGGGGCATAGAAAGATGCGTGAACAGGCTCGCTGCCCCAAAACAGAGGTCGCAACCGGGTACCCGATACCCGTACCCTACCCAATACCCGGCTACCCGTACCCGGCCGGGTACAGGTACGGGTAGCAGTTTGCGACCCTGATGCGGCCGGGTACAGGTACGGGTAGGCCGTGAGTCACTGGTGAGTAACCGTTTGTCACTCATTTCGGGTAGGGTACGGGTAGGGAACGGGTACCCGTACCCGGCCGGGTACGGGTACCCATTTGTGACCCTGGTGCGGCCGGGTACGGGTAAGGAATCAAAACCCGTTTGCGACCTCTGCCCCAAACCCACGGAGGGTCCCCCCCGAAAGGAGAAAAGGGGAACTTTTTAAATTTTGTTACTTAAGGGGGGAAGGGATGACAAAGGAAGGAAGGATCCGTGGGCCGTCTCTTAGTAGTCAGCCCCCTTCTAACCTGCAGCTCCCCGCCGTGGCGGGCGGTGGCGGCTGCAGCGCCGCCGCCGCTGACGCCAACCCGTCCAGCGCGGCTTCGTGCACGGCGTGCGTGGTCCACTGCGAATCCATGCACTTGCCCAGCACGCACACAAAGTGCTCAATCTTGGAGCTCGTCTCCGGGAACCTGAACCAGAAGTTCCTGGTGGCCGTCAGGATGAGCGTGTGCAGCACGACGAGGTGCGGGAAGTATTTGCTGATCCACAGCACCGCGTTGTCGTAGCAGAACTGGTTGATCAACCGGTACTGGTACTGGTCGAAGCCAACCTGGGCGAGTGTGGGAAGGGCAAAATTAACTGGCGTGGCGGTGATGTCACATGCCCTCCGTTGCGGTGACAGAGCTAGCTCAAATCTGGCTTTTGCCTGATGATGCCGGTTGTAATTACTGGCGAAACGTCACCGTACTCAAGATCGTCAATGTTGTGGCTTTGCTCTCCAACACACCGGTGTGCTGTACTAGGATATTACACTATACACTACACTATACATTACACTATAATGTACATTACAATATACACCACACTATAAATTACACTACACTATACATTACACTATACACCACACTATACATTACACTATACACTATACCAGACATGGGCAAAGTACGGCCCGTTGGGCTTTTTAATCCGGCCCGCCGAACTTGTCCAAATATTATTATTATTAAATAAAATGTTACCTTCCTCCTGTAATGCCCCCATTTCCCCAATAGATGGCGCACTTTGACCGGGGAGAGAGAGAGAGAATATTCGTATGAGCAATTCATGTTTCTATTGAAAGTAAGTTAACAGTAATATTTGGGTACAGTATTGTTTTTGGAAGCATTCACTGTAATATCGTATGAACGTTTACTTCACCGCATCATCATCGTATGAATGATGCGAGAAGAGATTAACGGGTTCTTATGTTAGCGATTTACGTTCTCGGCGCTTTCGCTCTCTAAATTACGGCTTGAATGAGGGGGAGGGGTATGACTACATCACGAAATTAATATCTTACTAGGAATTTTATATAAAAAAAGTTATATACATAACTGTTACGCTTTGTGTAATTCAACAAAACAAACAAAACTTAACTCCGAGTTCTCTCCGAATTTCACGAGTCCGTTCTAGACCCCACAGTTTTTTAAAGAGTTTTAACCACAGAAAACATAATTAAAGTTTGAAAAATCATTAATTATACAAACTTTTCAATTATTTCCTTCTTCACTTCGATTTAAATTTTCTTTAAAAACTTCTTCTTACCAACATTACCACTCATTACCACTTTCTCCGAAGGTAAGTTTGTGAAAGAAAACATGGTACAGATAGCAGACATCTTGTGTCGGGAGATCAAAAGCAAATTTGAAAAAGTCAGTTCATCACGCAGGACTGTGACTCGCCATGTGGAACTTATTGATAAAAATATAGTCAGTCAATTAAACAAAAAGTCTGCTTCCTTTGAATTATATTAACTAGCACTGGATGAAAGTACGGACGTAAAAGACACAGCTCAGCTCCTCATTTTTATCCGAGGCATTGAAGACAATTTTGCGATAACAGAGGAGTTTTTCACCATGGAGTCCCTGAAAGGAACAACGCGGGGAGAGGACTTGTATAACCAGGTATCTGCTGTCATCAAAAGAATGACGCTACCTTGGAGTAAACTTGTCAATGTCACAACGGATGGATCGCCAAATTTAAATGTTGGGCTGCTGAAAATAATCCAGGATAAAGTGAAAGAGGAAAACCCTGTCCAGGATCTTATTTTCCTTCAATGCATCATCCATCAGGAATCCCTGTGTAAGTCTGTATTGCAGCTTAATCATGTCGTGAATCCAGTCGTAAAACTTATGAACTTTATACGAGCAAGGGGACTTCAGCACCGTCAGTTTATTACCTTCCTGGAGGAAACTGATGCGGATCATCAGGACTTGCTGTACCACTCTCGTGTCCGCTGGTTAAGTTTGGGGAAAGTGTTACAACGAGTGTGGGAGCTGAAAGAAGATGTCATCGCATTTTTGGAGTTGATGGGGAAATCTGACGAATTCCCTGAGCTAAGTGACAAGAACTGGCTTCGTGACTTTGCGTTTGCTGTGGACATATTTTCACACATGAATGAGCTGAATGTGAAACTGCAGGGGAAAGATCAGTTTGTTCACGACATGTACAAACATGTGAAAGCCTTCAAATCCAAGCTCACTTTGTTCTCCGGACAAATTGCGAACAAATCTTTCGCTTATTTCCCCACACTTGCCATGCAGGAAGAGGCACCGCGAAACGCAAAAAAATACAGCAAATCGCTTGAGGACCTGCACGGAGAATTCTGCCGTAGGTTCTCTGATTTCGAAAACATTGAACAGTCACTTCAGCTGGTGTCCTGTCCCCTGTCATAAGACCCTGAAACAGCACCACAGGAGCTGCAGTTGGAACTGATAGATCTTCAGTCTGACTCCGTCCTAAAGGAGTTCAACTCTGTTAAACTAAATGATTTTTATGCTTCACTTAACAGAGCCACGTTTCCAAACCTCCGGAGGACTGCACAGAAGATACTGACTTTGTTTGGCTCCACTTATGTGTGTGAGCAGATATTCAGCGTCATGAACGCCAACAAAGCCCGTCACAGATCAAAGTTAACGGATCAGCACCTCAGATCTATCCAGAGAATTGCCACAACCAAAATAACTCCAGACTTGGATGCACTGGCAAAAATGGGAGATCAACAACACTGTTCCCACTGAAACTGATTATGTGTTGCTGCAGCGAGGTTGGAGCCAAATCTCCATCACACAGCCTGCGTGGCTGCTCTCACCTGTTAATGTAGATAATAAAGAAGTTCAAGTGAGGTAATTGGTTTGGGCGCAGGCCTCAGATGTTTTCATGATGTTTGATCAGTCACGTTACGACATGTTTTTGTATTGTTCATGTTCGTGCAATTTGTTAAATTGCCTTGCAAATAAATGCTTTGCTACCTGTTAAAGGCCAAATCCTTTCATGTAATCAGTTTTACATGTCATTTATATTAGTTCACACAAACACTCCATCCATCTGTTCCTGGCCCGGCCCCTCTGTCAAATTTTAGAACCCATTGTGGCCCGCGAGTGAAAAAGTATGCCCACCCCTGCACTATACTGTACATTACACTATTCCTCGGGCAATTGCCGGTGGCGCAGCCGGCCTTACCGCTGGCAACCAGCGGTTCCCCCCCCCCGCATGGTCGTGTCGAGCCGGCCCGAGGGGGGACCTCACCGTGTGGGCCCTGGGGTTGGCCACGAGCTTCCTCAGCACGGTCTCGTTCCACTCCTTCAGATCCACGTCGAAGCCTCTCGGCACCGGCACACACAGAATGCGCTCGTTCATGTTCTGGGCGGAGGTGGGGGAAGTGGGTACCACGTGATCATGACGTGCGCCGTGTGGTCTCCTTGAAGACGTCGCTCCACTCAGGTTCACTTTGCGCGATTCCCGGTGTGTACGGAGGGGGAGGCAACCCATATCGACCCAAGATGTGCTCTCTAGCCAGCGCTTTGAGTGAGCTCGTACGTCGAGTTGGAACCCACGACCTCCTGCGTACCAGGCGAGGTAGTTAACATCTCCCGGCCACTGTGATGATGAGACACACGCGAAGTCCAAATATGCAGCAGGGGTCGGGATGGAACCTATGGCCTCCTGCGTACCAGGCGAGGTCGTCAACATCTCTGCAATGTTATCCATAGCATCCATAATCAACGTTTTTGGGTTTCGATCGCGTTATTTATAAATGTGTCGTAACCCTCCACCACCCGACACGGCCAATCAGTAAAAAAGTGTCACGTTAACAAAAGACAAAAAGTTCACTGCTTTAGCCCACCGGTGTGTTGAAGCGTGAAACCACAACATTTACAATTTGAGTACGACGTTTCGCTGGTAATTGCATCCAGCATCATCGGGCAATTCGCCAGAATGGTGAGGCTCTGCTGTGTCTCCCGTTCTTATATAGAGCAGCAGCAGGGTGACGTCATCATTAACTCATCAGGTGCAAAGATTTGAGGGGAGGGGTTATTGTAATTATATACTAGATTGTTAATCAGGCTATTGTTATGATGCGAGTTGTAGATTAGTAATCATTTGGAATGTGTTTTATTGTGATTATGCTACATTAGTAATCAGTTAGTGTTTGTTTCCCTTATAAGGAATTGTAATGTATCTTATTTAATAATACGCCTCTAGGCCGCACTAAGCCTGTAGCTGTCTGAGCGATTAAAGTTATTTCTGTTTCTCTCAATTTCAATGGATTCTCTAATTAGTCTTTGCCAGTAGTAACTAGTTTTACACAACACGTTGTCAAAATTAATTGAGTGTCCCTGTTGGCATGCATGTTCTGCCACTGCCGACAGTTGTGTTTGCGATAGTTTAATATTTCTCTGGTGTTCTTTTAGTCTTATACTAACGTTATGCCCTGTCTGTCCAATATAGCATCTGCCACATACACAATTAATCCGATATACACCTGCTGTTGATAATTTAGGTAATTCGTCTTTAGTGCACGTTACTAGTTGTTGAATTTTGTGTACTGTACCAAATCTTACTGTAATGGTTTGCTTTTGCAAAACACGGGCTAATTTGTCAGTTACTCCTGAGATAAATGGTATTTTTAAATCCTTTATATTAAGTTCGCATGCTTGCTTGCTTGCGTGCTTGCTTGCTTACGACCGTGCAAATCTTTCAGTCGTTTTTAAAACCCACTTCCCGTGATCCAATCGAGCTGACATTTTCCACACAGAATCGTTGTGCCAGACAATTAATGTTCGTGAAAAAAAATTCCCAAAATTTTACACTTTTTAGGCAAAAAATTTTATTTTACATATATTCAAATAGAACTCATTCAACGCTTTGGCTGAACGTCACAGTATAAGAGCCCAGAGCGTAACCCCTCCACAGGCCGTGGCGGAGTAGCGCAGTTGGTAGCGCCCTCGCTTCCCATGCCAAAGGTCGCGGGATCGATCCCCGCGTCCTTCACAGGCGAATATATTTTAAATCCTTTATATTAAGTTCGCTGCCATGCATATAAAGGATTTATAGTGAAAAACTTTGTTTTTACGGGTTATACTTATTATTGTTTTAATAATCTGATCGCTTTCAGCAGTATTGCTTTGCGATCGTGATTTGGCATTTAGTGCTCTGTTAATTTGAGCATTATTGTAGCCATTCTGTCTTAGTGCTTCTTTAACATGTTTAATCTCTCTCACTAGACTTTCACCATCTGACACTGTTTTAGCCCGATGTATGAGCGTCTTGATAAGAGAGGATTTCTGAGCTGGGTGATGATGCGCATCTGCATTCAGGTAGGCATCAGTGTGCGTTTGCTTTCTGTAAACGCTGTGTGTTATTTTACCATTTAGGCCATGCCCAAGTAAAATATCCAGGAACGGGAGTGTGTTATTCACCTCCATTTCCATGGTGAACTGAATGGCCGGGTTTTGGGCATTGAGATGATTTAGAAAATCGTTAAGTGTATCTTTACCATGTGGCCAGACAACCAAAGTGTCATCCACATATCTAAACCAAAAGGATGGTTTTAATGTGCTCGAGGCAAGTGCTCTGGTTTCAAAGTTTTCCATGTACAAATTTGCTATAGCAGGAGATAAAGGAGAGCCCATTGCTGCTCCCTCCCTTTGTTTAAAGAATTCACCTCTCCATAAGAAGTAAGTGTTATTTAAACAATGGTCAGTGAGTTTCGGAATATCTTTTGGTAAACCTGTATTCTTTACCAGTGTATCAAGTAATTTAAGCGACTCGCTCACTGGAACCTTAGTGAATAGCGAAATCACATCAAAACTCACCAAAATATCATTAGGGTTAAGTTTAATATGTTTGATCATATTCACAAGATGTTCTGAATTTCTTATGAATGATGATGTCCTACCGATGTAGGGCTGTAATTGCTTAGTTACATATTTTGCTAATTTATATGTGGCAAAGCCAATTGTACTGACTATGGGTCGTAAAGGGATGCCGATTTTATGGATCTTTGGTAGCCCATACAGTCTAGGTGGTTTTGAAGCCCTTGGCTTAATTAGGAATTGCTCATTTTTTGGGATTAATGAATTTGCAATGATCGCAGTAGTCTTACGTTCCAAAGTATTAGTTGGATCTCGTTAAATTTTAATGTAGGTACTTTCCTCTAATAAATCTTTAATTTTATTATCATAATCAGCTCGTGACATCACTACAGTAGTGTGGCCCTTATCAGCTGCTAGGATTTGAATATCTTTATTTAGACGAAGCTCTCTTAAGGCTTTTGCCTCGTTCGAGCTAATATTTACTATTGGTACTTTACTATTCTCAATTATTTTGGCAACCTCGTGTCTAGTCATCTCTGCCTCATTATGTGGAAGGAGTCTTACTGCTGATTCTACCTCAGCAATTAGCTAATCCACTTGAATTGTGCGTGGGGTAACGGCAAAGTATATCATTACAATAACCCCCCACCCTCAAATCTTTGCACCTGATGAGTTAATGATGACGTCACCCTGCTGCTGCTCTATATAAAAATGGGAGACACAGCAGAGCCTCACCATTCTGGCGAATTGCCCGATGATGCTGGATGCAAATACCAGCGAAACGTCGTACTCAAATTGTAAATGTTGTGGTTTCACGCTTCAACACACCGGTGGGCTAAAGCAGTGAACTATTTGTCTTTTGTCAACGTGACACTTTTTTACTGATTGGCCGTGTCGGGTGGTGGAGGGTTACGACACATTTATAAATAACGCGATCTAAACCCAAAAACGTTGATTATGAATATTGGTCGTGAAAGCCTATGTGTTATCCATAGCATGGCGGCGACATTGATGAATGTGCGTGGGGACTCTGTAGAGTCTAGAGCAGGGGTGTCCAAACTTTTTGCAAAGAGGGCCAAATTTGATAAAGTGAAGATGCCCGGGGGCCAATAGTTCCTTCTGACATTTTTTTAACCACAAATGTTACTTGAAAATACACACTGTTTTATAAAAAAAAATAATTGTCACAATTACCTTTATTTTTCAATGACAATGTAACCAAATATAAGCCACTCAGGCAGACGTGAACTCCTCTAAAAACACAATTCTGCCTTTCATTCAGTCAGGTAACATTGAACAAACTGTATAGAATACCTTAAATTTCCATGAGTTAAATATCTGTGCCTCATGAACATTTTAAACATGAGCTATAAGTAATGGAAAGTGGTCTGTTATCATTAAACTTTAAAACAAGCGAATTTTGCCCTTGTCTTTTACAAGATCTTTCAGAAAGCAATAGTTTGTGTCACATCTACAGGTACATAACATCAACAGTTATAACCAAATCTTATTCAAGAGTTTAATAAAACAAGTGCTATAAGTCCAAGTGCATTTGTGTGCTTTAGGCTTTTCACTGTTAATAGTGACAGATGTTACCGTTCAAAACACTCAATTTCAGATTGATCAAGGAACAGATAACTTGCTGACACTAATGAGAAGGGTGATACTGAGATCTAGATTTCAGTAAAGAGACCAGGTCTGGCTTGAGGGCAGTGGTTGAGATGCGTAAAATGCCACGCAAATGGGAGTCGCTCTTCCTTGACCTCAATCGGTTCTTGCTTAAGTTCATGACTGAGAATGTTTGCTCACACAAATATGTGGAGCCGAATAAGCTCAGCATTTTCTTAGCGAATGACCGCATTTCTTTTTTTGCAGTCGCCATGGCAGAAATGACTCGAGAAGGGTTTGCGGCACGGATGCAGAGCCAGATAGAATTAGAATGGTGCTGCCACCGTGTGGTGAAAGGAAGAATAACATCTTTAAAGTTTTATGATTTATAAGACCGAAGCTGCGGGCCGTGTGAAATCTGACCGCGAGCCGTGATTGGCCCGCGGGCCGGACTTTGGACATGTCTGGTCTAGAGTCTAGAGCGTTGGAACGACGTACCTGCAGCATCCCGGCAAAGATGCCTATCATGAACATGGGCACGGAGAGCATGTCGCACAACACGTCCCACCAGGGCTGAAGGATCTTGAGGTCCTGGTGACCCTCCAATGAGAAGGAGGAGGTCAGGGCTCCGATGGGAATCATGACTCGAGCCGAGACTGCACACAGGCAGACACACACGCAGACACACACAGAGGCGCACACACACGCAGACACACACACAGACATACACAGACATACACACACAAGCAGACACACACAGGCAGACACACAGACACACACACAGGCAGACACACACAGGCAGACACACACACAGGCAGACACACACAGACAGACACACACACAGACACACACAGGCAGACACACAGGCAGACACACACAGGCAGACACACACACAAGCAGACACACACACAAACACAGGCAGACACACACACACAGAGGGTCACACACAGGCAACAAAGACGCACACAGAGACACACACAGGCAGACACAATACAAATGTCTCCCCGTGTAGCTCCTCTGACAGGCTGTGTGAGGCTTACAGAGGCGCGTGTGAGATTGGCTCCACTCTCTCTCACCGCCCTTGTTTTATTATAGTAGTAGTTGATATTACAGTATTAGTTAGTATAGCAGTACATGTTTTATTACTATAGTAGTAGTTGTTTGTTATTTTATTGATGTTATTAGTGTTATAGTTGTGATTATAGATGTTGTAGTTATTATAGTAGTAGTTGATATTACAGTATTAGTTAGTATAGCAGTACATGTTTTATTACTATAGTAGTAGTTGTTTGTTATTTTATTGATGTTATTAGTGTTATAGTTGTGATTATAGATGTTGTAGTTGTTATTATAGTAGTAGTTGATATTACAGTATTAGTTAGTAGAGCCGTACATGTTTTATTACTATAGTAGTAGTTGTTTGTTTTCTTGGTTCTTTCGGTAAAGTCACGTAGAAGGGAAGTAATAAAATAATAAAAATAAAACATAATAAATAATAAAACAATTCTCACGACGTTTCGGCCACAACGCAAGCAGCCGTCCTCAGGCGAAGAATGAAGCACCACCATTCTTCGCCTGAGGACGGCTGCTTGCGTTGTGGCCGAAACGTCGTGAGAATTGTTTTATTATGTTTTATTTTTATTATTTTATTACTTCCCTTCTACGTGACTTTACCGAAAGAACCAAGAAGATGAATCCCTGCAGTCACGAAAGCTTTAAATCGAAATTTAGTTGTTTGTTATTTTATTGATGTTAATGATAGTTATAGTTGTGATTATATGTTGTGGTTGTTATTATAGTAGTAGTTGATATTACAGTACTAGTTATTATATCAGTTCATGTTTGTATTACTATAGTAGTAGTAGTAGTTTATGTAATGTTATTACTTGTGTTACAGTTGTGATTATAAATGTTGTAGTAGTTATTATAGTAGTTGATATTACAGTATTAAGTTATTATAGCCGTTCGTGTTTTTATTACTATAGTAGTTGTTTATGTTATTTTATTGATGTTATTAGTGTTATAGTTGTGATTATAGATGTTGTGGTTATTATAGTAGTTACAGTATTAGTTATTACAGCAGTTCATGTTTTTATTACTATAGTAGTAGTAATTGTTTCTTTTATTGATGTTATTATTAGTGTTATAATTATTATAGCTGTTGTAGTTGTTATTATAGTAATGATTATAGACGTGGGAGATGTTATTATAGTCGTTATACTTGTGATTATAGATGTTGTGGTAGTGCTGGTCGTTAGGCTCCACTTCTCCCGCCAAATCGCGACGGTTTGTTGGTGGCGGTTGAGGGAGAGGGCCGCGTGGGCGAAACCAACTCGAGCGGCGTGCGCGGGAGGGGTGAATTCAATCGGCGAACTTAAATTGTTTTAATTTAAGGGGGTAGACAGCAAACGCCACCTTTCACTAACGCTAGCGATCCGTCTTGGTTCTTGTCGCTATGGATGAAACAATAAAACTATAAACAAGTTCGCTACATTTTTTCAGCGCGTCTTGAGTTGATGCTTTTCATCCACCCCCCTCCATACTTGGTATAGTCTGAAACGCAGCCGCGCCTTATCTAGTCTATGCTATTAACCATGGGCCTTAATCCGGGCTATGAAATAAAGTTCAATGTCACGTGCAACGGAGCTGACCAATTAAAAAAAGCCCGCGAAATGTCAACACCACGTGGCTCTTGGGGTGGAAACGGCCATCTTGGTAAGGGAGAGGCCCCCACACCCCCTATCCAAAATGGCCGCCCACACGTTGTTTGCTTGTGGGGTAACCTCTGATAACCAATAGCGACTATTCACACTCGACTATTGCGGAGCTGTCGAACCCCATCACGGTTTTACCCCGTCGTGATCTTTGCACAGGCAAATTGAGTTCTTAGGTCCGTACGGGCGTACAAAAAAATGTGTCTATTTGTGTTTCTCCCTTGTGATGGGATTATAAGGGGTTGACAGCTGTGTAGTGTATAGTGTAGTATAATGTATAGGATGAACGTTGACATTTCTAAGGGCATGGGGGTGACCAAAAAGGCCTGAATTGGTCTGTGATCAAGTAGGGCACTTATAAAGGGGTTGACAGGTATGATTACAGACAGAGACCCATAGAGACCTAAACGAGATAGATAGAGACCCAAGAGAGATACATGGAGACCCACACAGATACATAGATATAGCATACTGTCAACCCATACGGTTTACTCGTATTCTTGTACAGGGACATTGAGTAACATAATGTGCCTATTTGTTTGTGTTTCTCCCTTGTGATGGGACTTTGCAGGATGAACGTTGATATGTATAAGGGGCACGGGGTGATCAGTAAGTTATGAATTGGTCTGTAATAAGGTAGGGCACTGATAAGGGGTTGACAGTTATGCTACTGACACTAACAGTGTGAATATGCATACGTAGCCATTCATAGTGTAGTTGTATCTTCTTGGTTCTTTCGGTAAAGTCATGTAGAAGGGAAGTAATGAAACAATACAAATAAAACATAAAAAATTATTCTCACGACGTTTCGGCCACAATGCAAGCAGCCGTCCTAAGGTGAAAACCAGGTCTGTCGAGGCGACAGCGTCTGAATGAAACAGCACCATGCTTGGAGCATATATTTAAGCTGGGTTGGAAGGGGGGGGGGGGGGAAGGGCGCCTTGACAAAAGATTTTGCATATCAAGAGGAACTTAGCATATTTATGGGAAATGCAGGAATGTGATTAGTACTACTTATGACCGTGCATTATGCAGGATTAGCAGCATCAAAGGGAGGGGATATGGGAAATGCAGGTATGTGATTAGTACTACTTATGCCCGTGCATTATGCAGGATTAGCAGCATCAAAGGGAGGGGATAGGGGTAGCATTAATAAAGGGAAGGAGTGTTAATAGTATGTAGCTGCAGTAACTAAAACCACCACGTAAACAACTAAAGTATAAATTTCGATTTAAAGCTTTCGTGACTGCAGGGATTCATCTTCTTGGTTCTTTCGGTAAAGTCACGTAGAAGGGAAGTAATAAAATAATAAAAATAAAACATAATAAAATTATTCTCACGACGTTTCGGCCACAACGCAAGTATCCGTCCTCAGGTGAAAACCAGGTCTGTCGAGGCGACAGCGTCTGAATGAAACAGCACACGCGCTTGGAGCATGTATATAAGCTGGGTTGAAAGGGGGGAAGAAAGGGGGAGCCTTGAAAAAAGAATATGCATATCAAGAGGAATTTAGCATATTTATGGGAAATGCAGGTATGTGATTAGTACTGCATATGCCCGTGCATTATGCAGGATTAGCAGCATCAAAGGGAGGGGATAGGGGTAGCATTAATGAAGGGAAGGAGTGTTAATAGTATGTAGCTGCAGTAACTAAAACCACCACGTAAACAACTAAAGTATAAACTACATATTATCATCAGTATTCATAATCAACGTTTTTGGGTTTAGATCGCGTTATTTATTTAAACCCAAAAACGTTGATTATGAATAACATTGGTCGCGAAAGCCTACGTGTTAAACTATCATCAGTATACTAAATATACTCTACAATAAGCTGAGTTACTAACAGTAAGTAATACATTACAATTGTACGTCATAAAAATATATATATATTATGCTTCCATCTAAACTTTATTCTCTTACATCACACGAGTCTACACCGTACTATATACTGCCAGAGACAAACCCAACATTAAATTATATACTGTATTGCTATAAATCTTATACATTGTAATATTAAACTATGTATTATTCTACCCACCCTAATGTATATCACACTGCTGTATATTCACTATACAATTACGATACTATATATTACTTTGTACATTGTATTAAGCATATAAATTTTATACTATTTGTCATTATACACTGTACCATTGACCGTCGTGTGAAAGATACTAAGAGGAAGCAACGAAATATGTCAATGGGAGAGTAGTCATGGGAAACTTGCAGCGGAGCAAAGAATCCATTCCCTGCAGAAAATACAATGCCAGTGAGTGGAACGCGGTCTGAAAGTCACCGTAAACGTGAACACAATCAGTTAAGATCCGAAAGGGTTTATTACGTCCTTCCAATGATTGCTAAGCCAGAATCCATCTTCTCGGTTGAAATTGTCTCTGTGTTTGTATATGTGGATTGCCTCATGAACGAATCTCTCATGGTAGACAGATGGCTTGCAGAGAACCTCTGTCTTGGATAAGTCAATATCATGTGAGCCCACTGAATTGTAACAGTGATCTGCCACGGCCGAGGTGTTTGTCCTACCGTGTTACTGCATGTCTGGAACCACATCTTTTACAGACGGGACCAGATCACGGATTTTATTTACTGTGTTGAATCGGACCTGGATCTTGTGTTTTATCAGGATTTTGGAGATCTTTTTGTGACCCCAGCAATGTAGGGTAAGGTGATGGTCTTGAAAGGCTCCTCAACAGGATCCTTCTTGATGGTTGGAGTGATGGCTTTGCGGATTGTGTAGTCGGAATAACCATTAGCCTTAAGAGCTTGGCGTACGTGTTTGAGTTCACTGGCAATGTGTTCCTGGTCGGATATGCATTGGGCTCTATGGTATAGAGTCTTGATGAGGGAATTCTTCTGGGATGGATGGTGGTGGGAATACGGTTTTAGGTAAGCATCCGTATGGGTGGCTTTCCTGTAGACAGAGTGGCTCATTGAACCATCAGGTCTCCTTTTAATTAGGACATCCAAAAAGGGTAGCTTGCCATCTTTTTCGACTTCCATGGTGAATCTGATGGCTGGGTGTATGGAATTGATGTGGTCGAGAAATTGGTCTAGAGCAGGTCGGCCATGTGGCCAGATGACAAACGTGTCATCTACGTACCTCTTCCACAAGGACGGGCGTAGAGTAGATGCCTGGATGGCGTCCGTCTCAAATATTTCCATGAAAATATTGGCTACAACCGGATATAAGGGAGAACCCATTGGGTACCTTCAGTTTTTTTGTTGTAAAATGATGGTGAATATGTATGTCTTAGCATTTGCTATTCAAATATGAAATAATTATTCTTTATTAGATGTTAAATAATGTTGAAGCCAGAGAACATCCCTGTCGCACATACATACGCGCACACGTACACACACTCTCAGCGATGATGTTAAGACTCATTACAGCTGGCTCCGCCAAACCAAATGGTTGGGTGGTTCGTATCGCCAGTGCAAGTCGGCTGTTGTCAAGCTGTTATTAAAAGTTTTTTTTTCTCACGGAATGTGTTATCTCCGTGTTGTCATAAGTGGGGCTTTCGTCCACTGAGTGTCAACTTACAATGAGTTGGATCAATGAACGGGCCTCAGGCACACAACCTGTTCGTGAAGCGGGGACTGGCCGTAAAGTGTTATGACGGTGAGTTGCAAATATAGCTTTTTTGCAGCACAGGATTATTAATTGTTGCATGGATAGGGTCTCACCTTTATCTATCGCAAGTTTGTATCTTCACGTTTACAGGGCATGTATACGTGACATATCACTCAGCAAGCAGCCACTCAGCCTGTGCGATGGCGCTAAATAAAAAATATGTTAATGAGCCCTGTTGCAAGAGGTAAATTTGCCTCTTGCCTGTGAGCTGCTGGTGTCAAACATTTTACCGTGTGTAACCCGTTTGTGATGTATAACATTTTTCCCACTCAAATTCGCAATGCAAAAAGAATAGCAATGCAAATTGCTACTCTGATTAGCACGGTTGGCTATGCGAAAGAAATTCAACATACATACAAACGAACTCAAGTCAATGTGAATTATCAAGACAATTTATTTACAGTTGGTAATACATAACATAAGTTTTATGAGTTAGATTGCGTAAATATAAATGTGTTGTGGAACACGCCACCACCCGACACAGTAAGGTTTGTCACGTAAACAGAACATGCCAATTCATTAGAAGTACAGCACACCGGTGTGTTGGAGAGTAAATCCACATCATTTACAATCTGAATATGACGTTTGGCCAGTAATTACAAATAGCTTCATCAGGCGACAGGAGATTTGTGTATAAATCCTCCTGTTTCATTCCTTCAAGAGGGATAGATGTGATGACGTCACTTGTGAGCCCTTCTTGTGCGAAGGGGGAGGATTAATGTATGCATATGAATAACAATGGGGGTATCCATTGCCGGTTGGGTTATTGATATGTTAATCAACGTACATTGTGCATGAGCATTATTCTTGTACCTCCTGTCGTTTGAGTGCAATAAAATAACAGCACCTGGTATTGTCTGCATACAGTTGATCCCCATTTATGTATGGTGACCTGTATAGGCATGCATTTAAACAATTATTTGAACATTCAATTCTGTGCAGCGCTAAGGCTGTAGCTATCCGAATGGTTAAGATTATTTGTATGTAACACGTAGGACTTTCGCGAACAATATTATTCATAACAAAGGTTTTTGGGTTAGATCGCGTTATTTAAATGTGTCGTAACCCTCCACCAAAATTGAGTCACGTTGACAAAAGTCAAATAGTTCACGACTATTTGTCTTTTGTCAACGTAACAATTTTTTACTGTTCGGCTGTGTCGGGTGGTGGAGGGTTACGACACATTTATAAATAACGCGATAAAACCCAAAAATCTTTATTATTAATTATTTGTATTTATCTCCATTTCGATAGATTCTCTAATTAGTCTTGGCCAGTAGTAACTAGTCTTGCACAGAACGTCAATGAGTGTCCTTGTTGGCATGCGTGTTCTAACACTGCTGACAGTTGTATTTGGGAGTATTTAATATTTCTTTGGTGTTAATTTAGTCTCGTACTGATCATTCTTCCTGTCTGCTCAACATAGCATTGGGCGCAAGTGCATTTCATCCGTTACACACCTTCTGTTAAATGCTTCGTTAATAAATCTTCAGTACCAGATATTAGTTCATGTATTTTATGTACCATGCCAAATCTGACTAGGATGTTTTGTTTTTCATAAAGTCTCACTAGTTTATCCATTACTCCCACAATGTACGGTATTTTGAATAGTTGTAACTAATAACACGAGTTAAACTGACCAAGTAATTCAAACTACTAAAATACCGAACATCAACTAGCCTGATTTTTGGAAAAACAAAACATCCGAATCAGAGTTGGCGCAGTACACAAAATACAAAAACTAATATTTGGTACTTAAGATGTATTACCGAATCTTGATTTGAAGTTTTCGTGACTGCAAGAATCCATATACTTCGATTTAAAGCTTTCGTGACTGCAGGGATTCATCTTCTTGGTTCTTTCGGTAAAGTCACGTAGAAGGGAAGTAATAAAATAATAAAAATAAAACATAATAAAATCAAATAATTCTCACGAAGTTTCGACTACAACGCAAGCAGCCGTCTTCAGGTGAAGAATGAGACACTGCCAAGCTAGGAGCTTATATATAAGCTGAGTTGGAGGTGGAAGAAGAAGAGAGCCTTAACAAAAGAATGTGCATATCAAGAGGAATTTAGCATATTCATGGGAAAATGCGTAGGAGGTGGGCGGGGGGGGTTCAAAGTCATATTATGCCCATGCATTATGCAGGATCAGCAGCACCAAAGGGAGGGGGGGTAGCATTAACAAAGGGAGGGCATGTTAATAATATGTAGAAGCAATGAAACATATGAATGGGAGAACGATGGCAGGAGACCCGCAGCGGAGCAAATAATGCATTCCCTGTGGAGAACACAAGATACACAGTTAATGCCAGTGAGTGGACTGCGGTCTGAAACTGATTGTTGTTCACGTTTATGGTGACTTTCAGACCGCGGTAAAGTCACGTAGTTAGAAGTAAAATAAAATAAATCACGACGTTTCGATCGCAACACAAGCGAACTTCATCAGGTGGGACAACCACAGCAAGAAAACATTTGCTGAAGTGGGCGAGAGAGCTGCCGTGGCAAGAGGTTATACAGTTAAGAAAGGGGGGAGGAGAAAGCGGGGAAAGAGAGATAGAGAGAGGGGGGGAGCGCTGCGTGAGTGCTCGGGGGAGAAAGGATGTGAGGCCAGAGGTGGGGGGAGTGGGCAGGGCTGGAAGTGGGAGGCTGGGAAAGCTGGGAAAGCTGGGGATGCGGGGAGAAATTATCTCGGAAAAATAGGCTAGTACAAATAAACAGCCATAAAGAGTTAATGTTTTACCTGGTTAATACCATCCTTCCAATGATTGCTAAATTTGTATCCATCTTCTCGGTTGAAGTTATGTCTATGTTTATATATCTGAATGGCTTCATGAACAAACCTTTGATAGTAGCCGGAAGGTTTGCAGAGTACCTTGGTCTCAGAAAAAAACATTATCATGCGAGCCCACAGCATTATAACAAAGGTCAGCCATGGCAGAGGTATTGGTTTTCTGCCATGTTTCAGATCTGCCTTGTGTTCGCGAACACGGTCCGAGAGATGTCGTTTCGTTTCCCCAATGTAACTGCTACCGCAAGTTTGTAAACTCCAGGATATTGCATGTCAGAAATGACATCCTTCACAGATGGGATTAAATCACGGATTTTGTGTACTGTATTGAATCGGATCTGGATCTTGTGTTTGTTTAAGATTTTCGAAATCTTTTTGGTAACACCTGTTATGTATGGTAACGCGATAGTTTTGATCGGCTTCTCAGGGGGTTGTTTCTCCATGGTTGGAAAAACAGCTTTGGGAATAATGCGGTCCAAGTACCCTGTCATCTTGAGGGCCTGGTGTATGTTTGTCTAAATTATGAAGTTCAATATGGAGTAGTCTTATCCTCTCTGAGATTAGAGAAAGGCTAGCTCTGAATAAGATTAGTTTGGCGTTAGAAGAGACAGAAGTAGATGTGAGTGTAAGAGTATAGATGCCTGCAGTCACGAAAGCTTCAAATCAAGATTGAACCACCTCTACGGGGAGGGTTTTCACACATCTGTTAGAGCTTTTAACAGACTACGAGACAAGGTGGCTCACATGATCGAGTCTCTCACCTTTCTGAAGAGATGCTGCGACAACAAGGTAATACCGACCACATTTACACTGTGGTCGGTATTACCTTGTCACTACTCCTAACACCAAATGGATCTAATTTAGAGCTAGTCTTTCTTAAATCTCAGAGAGGATAAGACTACTCCGTCTTGAACTTGATAATTTAGACAAATGTCTCCTACAATCACACTTAACATTAACAGATAAAATGTCCGCATTTGATTAGAACCTTGTAGATAACATGACTGCTTCTTCTGCCGCAACAATGTCCTCCAAATGTAAGGTTAACCTTATTCTTCTTGGTTCTTTCGGTAAAGTCACGTAGAAGGGAAGTAATAAAATAATAAAAATAAAACATAATAAAACAATTCTCACGACGTTTCGGCCACAACGCAAGCAGCCGTCCTCAGGCGAAGAATGAAGCACCACCAAGCTTGGAGCGTATATTTAAGCTGGGCTAGAGGGGGGGAGGTGGGAAGAAGAGCGCCTAAACAAAATAATTTGCATATCAAGAGGAATTCAGCATATGGAAAATGCGTAGGAGGTGGGCGGGGGGGGGGGGGGGTTCCAAATCAATACTATGCCCGTGCATTATGCAGGATTAGCAGCATCAAGGGGGGGGGGGGGGGGGGGGTAGCATTAACAAAGGAAAGGAATGTTAATAGTATGTAGCTGCAGTTACTAAACAACCACGTAAAAAACTAAAGTATAAACTGCATAACAAACTAAAGTATAAACTACATAGCATCATCAGTATACTTACTATACTCTACAATAAGTTGAGTTACTAACAGTAAGTAATACATAAAAAATGTTCTACGTTGTAAAAAATTATATAATATGCTTCCATCTAAACTTTATTCTCTTACATCACACGCGTCTATACCGTACTATATACTGCCATAGGCAAACCCAACATTAAATTACATACTGTATTGCTATAAACCACCCTATACCTTATACATTTTAATATAACACTATGTATTATTCTACCCACCCTAATGTGTATCAAAATGGTTTATTACGTCCTTCCAGTGATTGCTAAGCCAGAATCCATCTTCTCGGTTAAAATTGTCTCTGTGTTTGTATATGTGGATCGCCTCATGAACGAATCTCTCATGATAGCCAGATGGCTTGCAGAGAACCTCTGTCTTGGAGAAGTCAATGTCATGTGAGCCCACTGAGTTGTAACAGTGATCTGCCACGGCTGAGGTGTTTGTCCTACCGTGTTTCAGGTCAGCTTTATGTTCACGGATGCGGTCCGAGACATGTCGTTTGGTTTCCCCAATGTAACTGCTACCACAGAGGAAACTTAGTTTGTAGACACCAGGGTACTGTATGTCTGGAACCACATCTTTTACAGACGTTACCAGATCACGGATTTTATGTACTGTGTTGAATCGGACCTGGATCTTGTGTTTAATCAGGATTTTGGAGATCTTTTTTGTGACCCCAGCAATGTAGGGTAAGGTGATGGTCTTGAAAGGCTCCTCAACAGGATCCTTCTTGATGGTTAGAGTGATGGCTTTGCGGATTGTGTAGTCGGAGTAACCATTAGCCTTAAGAGCTTGGCGTACGTGTTTGAGTTCACTGGAAATGTGTTCATGGTCGGAGATGCATTGGGCTCTATGATATAGAGTCTTGATGAGGGAATTCTTCTGGGATGGATGGTGGTGGGAATCCGGTTTTAGATAAGCATACGTGTGGGTGGCTTTCCTGTAGACAGAGTGGCTCATTGAACCATCAGGTCTCCTTTTGATTAGTTCATCCAAAAAGGGTAGCTTGCCATCATTTTCGACTTCCATGGTGAATCTGATGGCTGGGTGTATGGAATTGATGTGGTCGAGAAATTGGTCTAGAGCAGGTCGGCCATGTGGCCAGATGACAAAAGTGTCGTCTACGTACCTCTTCCATAAGGTCGGGCGTAGAGTGGCAGTCTGGATGGCGTCCGTCTCACATGACATTGACTTCTCCAAGACAGAGGTTCTCTGCAAGCCATCTGGCTATCATGAGAGATTCGTTCATGAGGCGATCCACATATACAAACACAGAGACAATTTTAACCGAGAAGATGGATTCTGGCTTAGCAATCACTGGAAGGATGTAATAAACCATTTTGATACACATTAGGGTGGGTAGAATAATACATAGTGTTATATTAAAATGTATAAGGTATAGGGTGGTTTATAGCAATACAGTATGTAATTTAATGTTGGGTTTGCCTATGGCAGTATATAGTACGGTATAGACGCGTGTGATGTAAGAGAATAAAGTTTAGATGGAAGCATATTATATAATTTTTTACAACGTAGAACATTTTTTTATGTATTACTTACTGTTAGTAACTCAACGTATTGTAGAGTATAGTAAGTATACTGATGATGCTATGTAGTTTATACTTTAGTTTGTTATGCAGTTTATACTTTAGTTTTTTAACGTGGTTGTTTAGTAACTGCAGCTACATACTATTAACATTCCTTTCCTTTGTTAATGCTACCCCCTCCCCGCCCCCCTTGATGCTGCTAATCCTGCATAATGCATGGGCATAGTATTGATTTGGAACCCCCCCCCCCCCCCGCCCACCTCCTACGCATTTTCCATATGCTGAATTCCTCTTGATATGCAAATTATTTTGTTTAGGCGCTCTTCTTCCCACCTCCCCCCCTCTAGCCCAGCTTAAATATACGCTCCAAGCTTGGTGGTGCTTCATTCTTCGCCTGAGGACGGCTGCTTGCGTTGTGGCCGAAACGTCGTGAGAATTGTTTTATTATGTTTTATTTTTATTATTTTATTACTTCCCTTCTACGTGACTTTACCGAAAGAACCAAGAAGATGAACCCCTGCAGTCACGAAAGCTTTAAATCGAAAGTTAACCTTATTGCTAAATTCAATAACTTGTCAAAAAAGAAATCAGATCCACACATTAAAAAGCTAGATGTTGACAAAACTGTTATCAATCTGAGTAGCAGCACAATCTCCAATAACCTAAAATCGGTACTAGCTAGAGGGATGAATTTTGCTGTCACCCCCAAACACATCCCAGTGGATTATATAATTGCCCAGGTACATGTAGCCCTCAAATGCTTGGGACACATCCCGACAGACGTGGCAACATCTGAAATTTCCACCATCCTTAAAAATGCTAAGAAACCCATTAGTAACATCAGCAAAGATGAGTGCTCTGAACTCGCCAAATTGAAAAAGAGAGATGACATAGTCATCCTCTCAGCCGACAAGGGCAATGCTCCTGTCATCATGGATAAAACCACATACAACAACAAAATCCAGGACCTTCTTAATCATGGAAGTTACACTAACCGCCTGGCTACAAAAATCAACAATATCATTACCAGTTCAACTCCTCTAATAGAGCCATTCAAACAGCTCTCCCTAAAACCTTCTGCTACTAGACCACCCAGATTCTATGGTCTTCCAAAATTCCATAAAGAAGGTACTCCACTTCGGCCCATCATTTCCACTATCAACTCACCTACCTACAAACTGGCCCGTTGTCTGTCTGATAACTTGCTTCCATTCACGGGCAAAACCACCTCAGCCCTGCATAACTCAGCTCAATTGGGCTCTCTAATCAAGGGCATTTCACTGTCCCCAGATGATTTGCTCGTCAGCTTTGATGTAGTTTCGCTGTTCACCAAGGTTCCTGTACCTGACACCTTAGCAATAATATAAGACTTAGTCCAACATGGATTGAATCCTGATGTACATACTCTGGTTAGGCACTGCTTTACCAACAATTACTTCACCTGGAATGGTACTTTCTACAAACAAAATGAAGGTTCCCCCCCTTATCACCAGTGATTGCGAATGTTTTCATGGAGAAAGTTGAAGCAGATGCCATCCAGACATCCACCCTACGTCCTTCATTGTGGAAGAGAAATGTAGATGACACTCTCGGTATTTGGCCTGCCAGCATTGAACCAATTTCTCAACCACATCAATTCCATACACCCATCCATCAAATTCACCATGGAAGCGGAGAAGGATGGTAAGCTACCATTCCTGGATGTTTTGTTTGAGAAGAGACCTGACGGCTCGTTGGGACACTGTCTACAGGAAAGCTACCCACACAGATTCCTATCTGAAACCTGATTCACACCCCCATCCGGTACAGAAGAAATCTCATCAAAACACTACACAATAGGGCCAACTGCATTTACGACCGATACCACCTTGCCAGTGAACTGGAACACGTACACCAGGCCATCAAGATGAATGGGTACTCAGGACGCATTATTCGCAAAAGCTGTTTCTCCAACCATGGAGAAACAACCTCCTGAGAAGCCGATCAAAACTATCAGATTACCATACATAGCAGGTGTTACCGAACAGATTTCAAAAATATAAAAAAAACACAAGATCCAGGTCCGATTCAATACGGTACACAAAATCAGCAATCGAATTCCATCTGTGAAGGATGTCATTCCTGATATGCAATATCCTAGAGTTTACAAATCGAGTTATACCTGTGGTAGCAGTTACATTGGCGAAACGAAACGACATGTCTCGGACTGTGTTCGCGAACACAAGGCAGAACCAATACCTCTACAGTGGCTGACCATTGTTATAACGCTGTGGGCTCGCATGATATTGTTATTTCCGAGACCAAGGTACTCTGCAAACCTTCCGGCTACTATAAAACGTTTGTTCATGAAGCCATCCAGATATATAAACATAACTTCAACCGAGAAGATGGATACAAATAGAGCACTCATTTGAAGGATGTTATTAACCAGGTAAAACCTTAACCGTTTATAGTTGTTTCCATCATATCTGTCAGGTACTAGCCTATTTTTCCGAGTTAATTTCTCCCCGCATCCCCAGCTTTCCACTTCCCCCCCCCACCTCATGTTCTCTCTCCCCCGAATGCTCACGCTGCGCCCCCCCTCCCCCTACCCCATACCCCCCCCCCTCTCTCTCTCTCCCCCCTTGCTGCTCCCCCCTCTCTTTCCTATATATCCTCTTGCCACGGCAGCTCTCTCGTCCACTTCAGCAAATGTTTTCTTGCTGTGGTTGTCCCACCTGATGACGGACACTTGTGTTGCACCCGAAACTTCGTGATTTGTTTAATTTTATTTCTAACTACGTGACTTTACCGAAAGAACCAAAGAGTATATGGATTCCTGCAGTCCCGAAAGCTTCAAATCAAGATTCGGTAATACATTTTTAGTACAAGATATTAGTTTTTGTATTTTTTGTACTGTACCAACTCTGATTCGGATGTTTTGTTTTTCCAAAAATCTGGCTAGTTGATGTTTGGTATTTTAGTAGTTTGAATTACTTGGTCAGTTTAACTCGTGTTATTAGTTACAACTATTCAAAATACCGTACATTGTGGGAGTAATGGATAAACTAGTGATATTTTTGGAAAAACAAAACATCCGAGTCAGATTTGGCATGGTACAAAACATATATAAATTATTATCTAGTACTGAAGATTTATTAACGAAGCATTCAAAAGAAGGTGTGCAACGGATTAATTGCACTTGTGCCAAATGCTATATTGTGCAGACATGACGAATGATCAGCACGACCAAAAGAACACCAATCAATATCAAATACTCCCAAATACAACTGTCAGCAGTGGCAGAATACGCATGAGGAGCGATCTCCCAGAGTTCCCCAGCGGAAGAACCGTGTTCACCGGAGGTGCCGAACCAGCAGCACACGCTCAATCTCCCATCTCGCAGGCGGCGGGGTCGGGGTGAGGCGGACGCTCGTGCCTGCTTACCATAGTTGGCTGGCGCAAGGCGCAACGTTGATAAATCTGCGGAAGAAAACGAGCGTCAAGCCGCACAGTCCGTTGGTGCCACCCCCCCCTCCCATCTTTCCCACCTGACACACGCAAGCTGAGTCAGCGCAGCAGGAGGGGTATGGCGCGGGGGTGAGGCAAAAAGAGGTCCCGTGTCCGTGCCTGGACGGGATGTGGCGCCGGGTGTGAAGGGCGATGCTCTCGTGACCGTGCGTTCGTTTGTGTGTATGCGCGTGTGCGTCTCACCTGTGGCCGTCCTTCTGCTGGACGAACCCCGGTGGCTGTTGGTTTTCATACAATGGGGAAGCATCTCCCTCCCGGGGCTGGGAGACCTGTGAAGGAGACCGCCATGGACATTAGCTCGTCGAGAACGCCAGAGGAAAACGAGCGATTCGCTCGCACATCCGAAACCCATGCTCTGGGCTTCACAGCGAACACCTTAACATGGCTGTCATTGCATGTGTGTGTACGCATATGTTGGTACTTGTACGTGTGTGTATGTACGTGCGGAGCAGTAGTGTAGCGGATAGCGCGCTGCTCTACTAACCCGGTGGCCCGACTTCTATGGCCGCTTATGGACAATACCAGTGACGATTATCTGAATGGGTCCTAGGGCTTCCCGAAGTCGACTGAGCCTCAAATGAGTACTTTGTGAAGTGTGTCAACATTGTCATTGGGAAGACAAAGGCGGCCGGGCATAGTGTTGGCCACCTACCCCCTTGTGTGCCACAATGACGGCCTTCATAGATGCTTGCTAACAGCACTTGCTCCAAAAGTCTTATAGGCTCTGTAGGGGATCTTTGTCTTTTTTACAGTTCTGTATGTATTTGCATATGCAAGTAACTCCATACCGATTCATGGCCAAACTTCCAATCAGCTAGCCGTGGCTTGCTGGAAGTGCCCCGGTCAAGGTACAGCACACCACTTGTATCCACGACCATCGTGTCCGGGTTCACGAGTTCCTGCAGTAGGGAGAATAGGAAATCAGCACGCGGTGAACATATGGACACAGGCCACTTGCCCAAGTGCCATTCTTCACGACGTCCCGGTGATAGTTTGCCTCTATAAACCACCCTATACCTTATACATTTTTTATATTTTAATATAACACTATGTATTATTCTACCCACCCTAATGTGTATCACACTGCTATATGTTTAATATACAATTATGTTACCGTTACAACTCAGTGGGCTCACATGACATTGACTTCTCCAAGACAGAGGTTCTCTGCAAGCCATCTGGCTATCATGAGAGATTCGTTCATGAGGCGATCCACATATACAAACACAGAGACAATTTCAACCGAGAAGATCGATTCTGGCTTAGCAATCATTGGAAGGACGTAATAAACCATTTCGGATCTTAACTGATTGTGTTCACGTTTACGGTGACTTTCAGACCGCGTTCCACTCACTGGCATTGCATTCTCCGCAGGGAATGGATTCTTTGCTCCGCTGCAAGTTTTCCCCCCACGACTCACCCATTGACACGACGGTCAATGGTACAGTGTATAATAACAAATAGTATAACATTTATATGTTTAATACAATGTACAAATATATAGTATCGTAATTGTATATTAAACATATAGCAGTGTGATACACATTAGGGTGGGTAGAATAATACATAGTGTTATATTAAAATGTATAAGGTATAGTGGTGGTTTATAGCAATACAGTATATAATTTAATGTTGGGTTTGTCTATGGCAGTATATAGTACGGTGTATGCTCGTGTGATGTAAGAGAATAGAGTTTAGATGGAAGTATATTATATAATTTTTATGACGTAGAATTGTAATGTATTACTTGCTGTTAGTAACTCAGCTTATTGTAGAGTATAGTAAGTATACTGATGATGCAGTTTATACTTTAGTTTTTTATGTAGTTTATACTTTAGTTTTCTACGTGGTTGTTTAGTAACTGCAGCTACATAATATTAACATTCCTTTCCTTTGTTAATGCTACTCACTGCACCCTCCCTTGGTGCTGCTGATCCTGCATAATGCATGGGCATAATATGACTTTGAAACCCCCTCGCCCACCTCCTACGCATTTCCCATGAATATGCTAAATTCCTCTTGATATGCACATTATTTTTGTTAAGGCGCTCTTCTTCCACCTCCAACCCAGCTTATATATAAGCTCCTAGCTTGGCAGTGTCTCATTCTTCACCTGAAGACGGCTGCTTGCGTTGTAGCCGAAACGTCGTGAGAATTATTTTATTTTATTATGTTTTATTTTTATTATTTTATTACTTCCCTTCTACGTGACTTTACCGAAAGAACCAAGAAGATGAACTATGAAGCTATTTTGGGGCCGTCCATAAATGACGTCTCGCACCTAGGGGGAGGGAGGGGGTTAGACATTTGTGACGATGTGTGACGAGGGGGGGAGGGGGTTTTGATAAATGTGACGTCACATCAAAATGCGCAACTTTAAATAAACTTAATTAAATAGAATTGTTATAATACTAATTTTGATCAATTTTCATTATTACCTATTCGATTATTTATATTTACTAAGGTCCCCTTTTTATTTATTCCATGAAGGAGCATTTTGCTTCTCCATGGGAAAATGGAGAAACATAAATTAATAAAAAATTTGAATTATTGTTAATAAACATTTTGATTCTAATGATTCTACCAGGACTTTTCATTCTGTGGAATGAATATGTGATTGTAATAATTGTACTCTCCATTTTGCTTCTTTCTACTACAAAATTTAAACTATTTTTTATAGTTATAATTACCTAAAAAAATGTATAATCATAAGAAAATTTCAATATAATATTCTGAACATCTGCAGATTTATTTAGGCGTTGAATATTTGTAAGTGAATTTTATGCAAAATTTAATCTTTCTAATGCCTCCTTTTAAATAAATGTTTCTCCTATAAGTGCAGCGCCACGTAAAATACGCACGACAATGATAATAGTTTAAAGTGATTTGAAGCATGTTTTAGTTTCAAAATGTAAATATGGTTGGGGGGGGGGGCAGAGCCTAGTGACGTCATATTTGAGGGGGGTCTGACTTTTTGTGACGCCGTGTGACGAGGGGGGGGGGGGCAAAAATCGGCCAAAATCGCGTGACGTCATTTAAGGACGGCCCCTATTCACAGATGTCTAGTTGGGGGTTGCTCAAAAAGTTACAACAAAACAAAAACACGATAGGAGTGCAGAGTACAGGAAAGGTAAGCAAATCACGCCCGCTGCACACGTGTCACAGCCGTCTTTGTCTCTCTCCCCAGTGCCGTCTCACACTCACCTCGGAGATGTTCTCATCCTTCGACCGTCTGCGGCAGCAAGTCGGCGAGAAGGGTCTTCAGTGAAGCTGGGAGAGCGAGGCGAGTGAGAGGCTCCCCCAGAGAGGCGAGTCTCGGGGTCGTGAGTCTCGGAGTGAACCGACTGGAGCGGGAGCCTCCACTGCAATGTCGCGTAACGGGCGGCAGTTGGGCGTGACGTCACGCGACGGTGGGCGGGGCCTGTGTCTGTGGGGGGAGGGGCGCGGGAGATTGGGGGGAGGGTTGTGAGGGGGAGGGGCTTGCGGGGGATGGGGGGGCGTGCGGGGCGGGGCTCTCCAACGGGCGATGCACCAAGCGTCCCCAACAGCGTGTTTGTGTTGTTGTTACATGACAACAATAACACGTGTTTGTGTTGTTGTTACACAACAACACGTGTTTGTGTTGTTGTTACATGACAACAACAACACGTGTTTGTGTTGTTGTTACATAACAACAACACTTGTTTGTGTTATATTCTTGGTTCTTTTCGTAAAGTCACGTACGAGGGAAATAATAAAGTAATAAAAATATCAAACAACACAATTCTCACGACGTTTCGACTGCAACACAAACAATCACTATCAGGTGTGAAATTCACAGCAAGAAAATTTGAAAAAAGTGGCGTTTTTCTTAACTTTAGAAACCCAGGACAGCGATTGCTAAGCCAGAATCCATCTTCTCGGTTGAAATTGTCTCTGTGTTTGTATATGTGGATAGCCTCATGAACGAATCTCTTCTGGCTTAGCAATCATTGGATGTGATAAACCATTTCGGGTCTTAATTGTGTTCACGCTTACGGTGACTTTCAGACCGCATTCCATTCTCCTTCTCTCCCCCCTCCTCCGTTCCGAGCATAGATGGACTCGTCCGTCTGAACGACCGCTAGTTGCTGTCCGTGGTGCTGACGTTAAGAAAAAAACGCCACTTTTTCAAATTTTCTTGCTGTGGTTTTCACACCTGATGTTGATTGCTTGTGTTGCAATCGAAACGTCGTGATAATTTTATTGTTTTATTATTTTATTATTTCCCTTCTACGTAACTTTACCGAAAGAGCCAAGAATATGAATCCCTGCAGTCATGAAAACTTTAAATCAAAATTTAATTGCACCATTACTATAAATTCCCTAACATCAGAATCAGAATCTTTATTTAGGCTGGAGGGATCCGATGAGCTATGAAGCTCTTCTTTACAGATGTCCAGTACGGGCGGGTTACATGTAATTGCGGTATTGCTATCAATATCAGCAGGAACTCGCGAAACTTCGGCGAGGATTTGAGCAGTCCTCGATTTACGAAGGGAATCTGTTCTAACGACATACAAAGAGAAAGACAAAGATCCCCCGTGTAGCTTTGATAGACTGTCGGGGCAAGTGCTGTTAGTGAGCACCTATGAAGGCCGGCACGACACACAAGAGGGTGGGTGGCCAGAACCACGGATGGACCGCCTTTGTCTCCCAAATGGCAATGCTATCTGGTACTCATTTTAGGCCGAGTCAACCTCGGGGAGGCTCATAACCGGTTCAGATAAGCGTCACTGGGTTTGGTCCCTGGGCTCGTATCGCAGCGTAGCGCTAACCGCTACACTCCCGCTCCTGACACACACAGATACACACACACACGCGTGCGCGTACACACTCTCAACACACACACACTCCCAGCAGTGATGTGAGGACTCTCAGCTCGAGTAGTTGGGTGGTTAGTTTCGCCAGTGCGAGTAGGCGTATGCAAGTTGTATTGAAAGTTTTTTCTTCACGGAATGTGTTCTCTGTGTTGTCGTAAGTGGGGCTTTCGTCCACTGAGTGTGAGTTGGACCAATGAACGGGCCCCAGGAACAGAACCCATTCATAAGGCACAACTGGCCGTAAAGTGTTATTTCAGTTTCATTTATTAGGTATAGCCCTGTGAGCCATGGGGCTCTTGACTCGGGTGCAACCGCAACAAACAACAGAAACATAAGGTAAAAAACAGTAAATCTTCCAGAAAAAAGCGCCGTACATCAACGTTGTGTGCAAATATCCCAATGGGATGCAAGTCGAACAACTACAACCATAAGACAATTTAGATAAAGTTAAATCCGTACTTCAACAAACAAACATGACTTAACCATACCTTTTCGAATATCACCAAAACAAAGATATAAAAATAATGTAACAGTGATCATAGGAACTGTGATTCAAATTTAACAATAAACGATATACATAACACGTACGATTAAACTTTGCAGCCATAGCTGGCAGCATGAGTCACTCCATAACAACAGGAGTATCAGTAGGAGCATCAAAAAATTTAAATTCACCTTTAAAGATCAGCACACTATAATTGAAACTCAAGATCATACTTTGCAGCGGACATCCGGAGCGGTGCATTTGATTTCAGGCCACTCTGCATCGCAGTGGCAGCGGGAGGTGTACAGCTCATCAAGTGCAGTTTTGAGTGCAGGTCTCACAGGTAGTGATCCAAGTTGCAGTTTATTGGCGACAGCATTCCAGACCCTGGGGGTATCAATAGCAAAGGACCTTCCTCCAGTATTTGTACGGCAATAAGGAATGTGAAGCTGGTAAATGAGCGAAGACCTTAGGTCACATTTGTTCTTCGAAACAGTGAGGAGATCCAGCAGGTTGACTTGCTGTATTTGATAATTATTTAAGGAATGTAATTGTGGATAAATTACTTCCCGTTTTAGTCCTGGTGAGAAGCATAGCACCTTGGTTTTGGCGGTATTCAGGACTAGTTTAAGAGCAACTAGCATTATCCCCTCCCTTTGATGCTGATAATCCTGCATAATGCACGGGCATAATATGACTTTGAAACCCCCCGCCCACCTCCTACGCATTTCACAAGTAGTGCTAATCAAATACCTGCATTTCCCATAAATATGCTAAATTCCTCTTGATATGCAAATTATTTTGTCAAGGCGCCCTTCCCCCCCTTCCAACCCAGCTTAAATATACGCTCCAAGCCTGGTGGTGTTTCATTCATACGCTGTCTCCCCGACAGACCTGGTCTTCACCTGAGGACGGCTGCTTGCGTTGTGGCCGAAACGTCGTGAGAATTATTTTATTATGTTTTATTTTTATTATTTTATTACTTCCCTTCTACGTGACTTTACCGAAAGAACCAAGAAGACTTGCGTAAGTTCTCTAATCATCTTTCTGCCTCGTCAGTGGAATCCCGAGGGTGTATTTGTCCATCCTTCTTTGCGCCCTTTTCCGTAAAATGTTCGGTGTTGTTGGTCACGATGTCTCTGAATTACATTAAATACTTTCTTGTTGCGGTAATTTCATTACGTGCTTAGTGTTTTACACCTAATAATTGCACTTCTCGAGACGAGTGCATCCTCACGTGAGACTCTTGCAGCGAGCAAGTGCTCCACGGTGCCCTTGCACGACTCCGCAAAACCAGATCACAGAGCCACTCTCACAAAATCCCACCACTCGGCGCCTCTTCATCCACATTACGGACATGGGCACGCACATAGCGCTGCCCTCCTCACGCCACTGGGGTGGCTATCGAGCGCGTAGGCGGTGCAACTGCACGGGGGCCAAAAGGTGGGAAGGGTGCTCAAGGCGCCGGGCTGCAAAGAGAAGGGAATGCACGAAGGAGGTCCCCTCGTTCCACCAGGGCCCATACCTCGCATAGCTCAACCGATTTAAATCTCTCAGAGCTGGAATATTACGAGCTTACGCTGACACCGTAAACGCGCTACACTTGAATACCTTGTTTGAACCTGGGCGGCCGAAACCTGGATTAGAACCCAGGGGTGGAGCAGTTCGGGTACGAAGCGTCTCCAATATTCCACAGCAACAAGATTCATCCGGCCAGGGCCGGTTGCCAGCTGTTTGACAGCGGCGCTTTATGTCCGCACACCCGGCTTGTGCCTGCAGACTGGGCGCAGAGTGCGAGACGAGGGTGAGACGAGGCAGTAACATCCCATCCTCACTAATACAGCCAGCCTGCTGCCACTGCTGCCCATTGTAGGCACAAAGTGCTGTTGCCCAGTGTTACAACACACCTCTGATAATGCCTATTGTACAGTGCTGCTGCCCATTGTAAATACACAGAGCTACTGCTGCCCATTTGCTCCTACACAGTGCTACTGTTGCTCATTGTTACTACAGTTCTAATTCTGCCCATTGTTACTGCACAGAGCTGCTGCTGCCCATTGTTACTATACAGTGCTGTTGCCCATTGTTACTATACAGTGCTGTTGCCCATTGTTACTATACAGTGCTGTTGCCCATTGTTACTATACAGTGCTGTTGCCCATTGTTACTATACAATGCTGTTGCCCATTGTTACTATACAGTGCTGTTGCCCATTGTTACTATACAGTGCTGTTGCTCATTGTTACTACACAGTGCTGCTGCTGCTGCCCAATGTTTCTACAAAGACAAAGATCCAGCACTTATGAAGAACGGAACGGGGCACGGCACACGAGGGGGTGGGTGGCCAGCACCACGCCCGACCGCCTTTTGTCTTCCCAGTGGCAACGTTTCTTTACACACCGCACTAGGTACTCATTCGGGGCTGAGTCGACCTAGGGGAGGCCCAGGATCGTTTCCGATAATCGTCACCGTGGTGTTGGTGGCCGTGAGCGAGAAAAACGAAGTCGGAACGCCGAGTTCGGAGCGCATGGGGCGTGACACAGCATCTGTGCCAAGAACAGCCTTAAGCGGTCTTAATGTATCATTTGCACGTTAAGCACGACCATGGGCACAAAGTGTGCACGAGCACATTTATACATGAACTTGCGGAATGCATTTGTTTAATCGCCAAACATTGGCAACCTTATCCACGTGAATGAAACCAAATGTCAACTTCATCGTGTTCAAGACACGACAATGGTCAGGCATCTCTATTAAGCCATTGATACTGGGATGTAATGATACAACAAACTTACACATCTTCCACTGCTGGATGTTTGAGCATACTTAACCACGCTGGTTATTGCGCGTGAGTGAAGGGGGGAGGTTCTTCAGATATCATTTGTCACTGATGAATAGATCGCAGCTGACCAGGTTGCCCGATAGTGCAGTGCGAAGCTGCGATCATCGCACAATATCAAGTGTAATTGTCAATGCTTGTTTACGTGTGCGCTCGCGCGGATGTGTTCAACGTGTCATGCAATTGTTATAGTAATCCTTGA